CTGGTACCTTTTCTCCCAAAATGGATTGGTAAAGAGCAATAAAAACATTAGCATCACAATCTTCTAGTTCTCGTATCCTCAGGTGTATGTGGCATTTCAAAAGAAGGTTATTGGCAACGGTTATCCACTCTGTCAGGAAAGGAAAAAGATCAGCCTTAAATAGCACTAGAAAAAGTCAACCCCCATGAAGATAGACATTGAATGACGTAGAAGATAAAATATTTGATTATTGTAGAAGTTCAAAGACCCTCTGAGGCACGAATTTTGAAAATATTTAATTTCTTGGGATAACTTCCAGAGTGCTAGAATTTTAATGTAATCAAAACTATGATGCAAATCTAACTTTTACTATTGCAACCTAAAATCTTAAGTTATTTTACCCCTTTTCTTATTTTACCAGCCATACCTAGTGTTTTTATTTAAAACATACAAGTAAACGGGAATATATGTCATAAACGAGACCGTTTGTTAACGATACTCTGAGATTACCAGAAACTAATTAATAGAAGCTGCTTCAAATTCCCAATAGTATTAGTCATGTTTTTACCCAATTATCTTGTGCAAGTCAGAATTTCTCTGGTGCCCAAATAGGTGGTGATTAACTTAGTCTGTTAAAAACTGAAATAATGACACCAACACTACAACATTTGTTAGTTTTTTAAAAATTACATTTAATGAATAAGAAATAAAACATAGAAAATACATAAAAACGTCCCTAAATTCAGAACTAGCACGTTACCAACACTGTTGAAGTTTCCTGTGTACCACCGCACCCCACCCACAGATACGGTAGGAATTAGCAAGGTTATTTCAAGACTTTCTCAAAGGTAATTTAGAAAGCCTGACCTATTTGATCCCTGATATAATTGGCGATTAAGGAGAAAGTCCTTTTACTTTGTGTTCGACATATTCAGCACGTTCTAGGAATAACGATGTCTCTGTGTTCAAGGCACGTTATCTCCCTCTCCCCATGCCCACTCCTCACAGCTGACCAAAACACGACAAGCAGTTTGAACGCTGTCCTGAGAAAAGGGATGAAAGCGTCCCAGACAACCCAACCCACTCGCTTTGCAAAAGCGGTTGCTAGACAAAGCCGGTAACTCCAGAGGGCACTGAGGAGAAAAATCCAGGAGCATCAGCAGATCTTAAGTGTGCCGTTCCCCCAAAAGTTCAATGCACATGCAGGTACGGCCTCAGTCCCCACAGTTCAAGAACCAGAGAACACGATGACAGGGGCTGCATTCCCCAGAGAAATACACGTCCCGGGAAGACGCTTTCTGACTGCCCTTTTTGCAGCCAAGTTGCAGGCGTGCTGCGGGCCTCGCCACGGGGTCCTTCTCTCCACACCCCAAAATCGTGCTCGATGGCCTCTAAGCCGACCGAGATGGGGGCTAAGAAACCCGCAGAAACCGCCCACTACGACGGGGCGTCTGTCACCAGCCCCGCGGACAGCCCAGACCTAAGGAGTGCAGCCAGAGGACTCAAGAGAAAAGGAGCGTTCGGGGACTTAAACGGCTTCAGTCCACACACACCGGGGCTCCGAGCCGAGACTCACCAGCCTCTGAGCCGGCCATGTCACGGAGGCAGGTCGCCGCCTGGCTTCCAACTGGGCGCGCGGTGGACGGCGTCCTGGAAGGGCCCCACAGCGCAGACGCACCGCCAAGGTGGGGGGAACGAAACTAAAGGGCAGGGGGTAAAAGAGGGAGGAACGTTAAAACGGCTTCTCGCTGCTGATTGGCTATCACAGGAACACTTCCTTTCGCTGCACGCGCCGAGGCGGCGGTTTGTGGGCTCTGGATACCATTCTTCGCGGGCAAGATCCCGCTAAGGGATTCTCAGGTGGGTGGGTTTGACAGGTCGGGTCACCCAGCCGCCCAGGCCAGTCTCCCGGGGCATTAGTACGGCACTTCCGGTGAGCTATTTCGTTTCGTATTCCTCCGCCGACTCCAAGTGGAGAAGTAGTGCGGTCCGCTTACTGGAGGGGCGGGAGCAGCCACGTGACAATATCAGGCTCCGCCTTCCCGTCTCACTTGGTTAGGGGCGTGAAGGCTCTTTGGAGACGTAAACATCTCCAAGTGGTCTGAGTGGGTTGGCCTGTGCTGGCCATTTTGTCGGCTGGGCTGGAACTGGAAAAGGGCGGGGTGGCTTTCTTGAGGTGTGGAAAGACGAGAAAAAGGTGAAGAAGTGTAGGTTGAGGCATCTCAGTGTAGGTGGGCCCAGCCATGAGAGGGCCCCCAAACCGGCAACTCTGAGGGAGGGGGAGGGTGGGGGTGGGGCGAGAACATGGCGGATCCCGGAACGCCGGCGGGCGTTGCGGCCTCTGCGCAGGGGCGGGGTGATTAGGTCATAGAGCGGCTCCCAGCAGTCTCTGCGGCGGAGGAGGCGGTCCAGGCTATAAAACCGGCTGCCGGGACGCGGCCGGCACCTCATTCATTTCCACCGGTCTCTTGTTGAGCAGCTTCGGCTCCTGTCATCGCCGCCCCTCCGCCGCTGCCGCCCCCGCAAGGCTTTGCCATCGCCAAAGCCATCTGCAGCGACTCGTCGCACCCGATTCTCTCCACTTCGTTCCCCGCCAACCGCAACCATTGACGCCATGTCGGGTTATTCGAGTGACCGAGACCGCGGCCGGGATCGAGGGTGAGTGTGGGAACGGACTTGTCAGGCCCGGCAGTGGGGGATGGGAGGCCGATGAAGGTGGCGGCGGGCGGGGGCGGCGGGAACTTGGGTTTTTTAACCTATTCTTAGGCTTTATCAATCGAAGTTTTGCGCCATTTTGATATCTGTCCAAAAGTGACTGAGGGATGTTGTCCTGTTAACGGTCCTCAACCTCGCCTTTTGTTGGCGGGGGTGGGGGAGGGGGCGTCGAAGCCCCCCCACCGCCGACGATAGAACAGCTGTTGGGAGAACTCGGGAGAGCGTATTTCGATGGGAGAAAAGCGCGACGCTTCCAGGAAAACGAAGTCAGCGCTGTTCGGTGCATCTTCTCGGGAGGTGTTTTAGGGGCCCCGGGAGTTCTATGATAGCCGAGGGGGTCGCCTCTGAAGCCATTGATGCGGCGGGGGCAGGGGGGTGGCTGGCACCGCGGGAATCGGCCATGTGGCTGAGTCGCGGGTACAAAATGCCGGCGTCGGATATGGCGGCGGCGCCTTTGTTACCCCGCCCGGCGGAGGAGCTCAAAATGGCAGCGTCGAGAAAATGTGGCGCAGAGAGAAATGCGAGACAAAGGGGGAAGCGCCGCCCCAGCGGGAACGCCGCCCGGTCCGGGACTCCTCCCCCGGTAGTTGCCAGCTCCTCCTTCTCTTTTTCTTTGCGTTATATAATTTTGCTATCCTGATCGGGCGTCCTTCCGCGGGATCCCCCCCATTCGATAGGCTTGCATAAGTGTCTCTGAGACCAGCGTCCTTGTTCTGTTCTCATTGCTGTTGCTGTCCCATTATTCCTTAAAACCAAAGCTTCTTTGGTTGAAAACAGCTGATAAATAACATTGTTGTTAAGCACCTCCCTTGTATTGTCTCTTTCCCAGACACTTAATTTCTAAGCTCACGGGAAAGACTAGGAGCTACAAGCTGTTGTCTATCCTTGTAATCTGAACTTCAGGCGTTTGGGCAGCCAGTTTCCGACCTGGTAAATCCCGGGCTGTTGACTTGGCTTCAGTAGTGTGTATTTGGGACAACGGGAAGTGAGAGAGGTGGTGCTAATTGTGGCTTTTGAGAGCATGACGGGTGCTAAGTGCTAAGCCTTAAACCTCGAAAAGTCTCTCATTTACGTGCAGTGTATGCCAAGAGAGAATAAGTCTTTATATAAATTTGTCTGTAGACGTTTGAAAATACGAGTAACTTCTTTTTTGCTTTAATTTCAGGTTTGGTGCACCTCGATTTGGGGGAAGTAGGGCAGGGCCCCTATCTGGAAAGAAGTTTGGAAACCCTGGGGAGAAACTAGTCAAAAAGAAGTGGAATCTTGATGAGCTGCCCAAATTTGAGAAGAATTTTTATCAAGAACACCCTGATTTGGCTAGGCGCACAGCAGTGAGTAATTTCACATAGCTTCATTGGGTTGTAACTCAATAATGGCTTCTATCTAGTAAGTAAAAATATGAACAGAGACGTCGTGGAAACGTGGAAAATGACGAAATTTAGGGAAATTCACGCTTATAGATGAGGTGGTACTTCGGAAACAGGTGTCTTCAAATTTTTCTACACAGAATGGTTAAATATAACTGCACTCGGTGGATTTTTTACTGTGTAGGTTTTCCATATGTGGATATAGGTTTTAAATGGCCCCATTAAAGTTTAATAATAGTTTATAAATTTAGGGGCTTGCTGGCTGCATATTAGTGAAGGTTGTCATGGTACTTAGTAGATTATTACAATTTGTTTTATAGCAAGAGGTGGAGACATACAGAAGGAGTAAGGAAATTACGGTTAGAGGTCACAACTGCCCAAAGCCAGTTCTGAATTTTTATGAAGCAAACTTCCCTGGTAAGTGCTAGTTTGGACCCCCCCCCCTTTTTTTAATTTCCTCCTTTCTCGGCTTCACTAAATTTTACTGAATTGTTGCTAATTACAGCAAATGTCATGGATGTGATTGCAAGACAGAATTTTACTGAACCCACTGCTATTCAAGCTCAGGGATGGCCCGTTGCTCTAAGTGGATTGGATATGGTTGGAGTAGCACAGACTGGATCCGGGAAAACATTGTCTGTAAGTGTGGGAGACATTTTGAGTTTTAATCTGTGGTCATGTGCTAGAGAAAATGGATTAGGAATATAAAGAAACCAGAAGCTTTTTAATTTAACTCCTGTTGTTTGTTTCCCCACCACAAATAGTATTTGCTGCCTGCTATCGTCCACATCAATCATCAGCCATTCCTAGAGAGAGGTGATGGGCCTATTGTAAGTATATATCTGTATTTTTTGTTAATTTTTGCCTAGGAGTACAATGCAGTGTTCTGTAGAATACGTAGCAAAAGATAATTCTTGTGGTGTAACGTAGAGACATTAGTTGTATCACGTTAATTTAGCTGCTGACAGAGCTGCCTTGATTATACTTAAGTACTGGACAGCAAAATCAGTGACCTGCCTATTTAATGCCAATCAGTTAGTTTAAAACTAGGATCCAGGAGTTTGCTAAAACCTGTTTCACTTTTTGTTTCTCTTTAGTGCTTGGTGCTGGCACCAACTCGGGAACTGGCCCAACAGGTACAGCAGGTAGCTGCTGAATACTGTAGAGCATGTCGACTGAAGTCCACTTGCATCTATGGTGGTGCTCCTAAGGGACCACAGATTCGTGATTTGGAGAGAGGCATGTAACAAAAATTCTATCTGTCACTGTTGGTGCTGGAAGTTTAGATCTCGTAGTTACATCTATGTGTTTAATTGAAGGTGTGGAAATCTGTATTGCAACACCTGGAAGACTGATTGACTTTTTAGAGTGTGGGAAAACCAATCTGAGAAGAACTACTTACCTTGTCCTTGATGAGGCAGATAGAATGCTTGATATGGGCTTCGAACCCCAAATAAGGAAGATTGTGGATCAGATAAGAGTAAGTACCTTTAAAAATGTTTTATTTTCAAACTTAGCTCTCAGTTTATTCTTAGAATACAATGCTTTTTTTAATCCAAAATATTTTAGCCTGATAGGCAAACCCTAATGTGGAGTGCAACTTGGCCAAAAGAAGTAAGACAGCTTGCTGAAGATTTCCTGAAAGACTACATTCATATAAACATTGGTGCACTAGAACTGAGTGCAAACCATAACATTCTTCAGATTGTGGATGTATGTCATGATGTAGAAAAGGATGAAAAGTAAGTTTTCTATAGAAGTTATAATTCTAAAAGTTTCGCCAAACTTTGGAGTTACCCTTTCATAGGTTATCTTAAAAGTGACTTTCAGTTGGGTGGAACGTGAATGTGTTCATTTAAAATTAGTCTGTCAGTCTTCCTGGAAAATGTTTTCTTCATTCACATAATTGGTTATCACTGTATTTATAGCATTCCTTTAGGTGAAAGAACATGCTTTGTGGCTTAAGGACCAAGGGCAGTTGCTTGTTAAGTGTTCATGCAGGTGTTTTTACTTGTAGCCGTGTAACTGAAGATAGTGCTTCAGTGACTTTAAATGCGTGGCCATAACCATGGACTACTTTTAAAATTCACAATTTTTTCTCCCAAGACTGATTCGTCTAATGGAAGAGATAATGAGTGAGAAGGAGAATAAAACCATTGTTTTTGTTGAAACCAAAAGAAGATGTGATGAGCTTACTAGAAAAATGAGGAGAGACGGGTATGTGGGCTTCTTCCATTGAAGCAGGTGTATGAGAGCTGAGGTTGGGGGGGGCGCAAACCGATCAAGAGTAACGATATAAATGTCATGGATGACCATTACCTAGTGTAAATAAAACTGCTTAGGTGAAATTAAAGGAATTGGTGACTAGATAGGTGTAGTAGACTAAAACCTTTCGGGTTTCAAATGTGAGCCTACTGATACGGTTTTTCTTTAATGTAGGTGGCCCGCCATGGGTATCCATGGTGACAAGAGTCAACAGGAGCGTGACTGGGTTCTAAATGGTTAGTCAAATGAAAAATTTTTTTTCTCAAAACCTGGAATTCTCAGATTATTGATGATTCTTTCTCTTTCACAGAGTTCAAACATGGAAAAGCTCCTATTCTGATTGCTACAGATGTGGCCTCCAGAGGGCTAGGTTAGTAAAAACTCGAATTCATGGCTTGGTTTCCCAGAAGATCTCCATATAATTCTTTTTAAAGAAAGTTTATTGCTTTCTTTAACCTCTGCATTTTTTCTAAGTTTTTTTCATATAAAGGTGCAGTCTTTGTGGCAAGGCCTAGGCATGACAATCGGAGGACTCGAGGGGGATGGAGGACTAGTGATCGGCTGGCTGCTTCCAGTCGATTAGAGAGGTGAAAAGCTGAAAGTGTGCCAGTAATCTTCAAAAGGCAGAACATACCACCTCTGCCCCGTAAACTGTTCTCTCCGGGGGAAAAAAATGGAAGTTATCCTCACAGTTCACTGCCGTGGTATTTCTTCTGTCCCATGCTTTGCATGACTGCCATGGTACAGCATTGTTTCAAACTGTTCACTGTGATCTGTGGGTCTTTGAGTTTCAGTGAGTTTGCTGAAATGTTGAAGAAATATTTCCAAACTTCAATGTTCAATGAAATTTTTGTTCAAGTTTGAAATGGAGAGAGCAGCTTTAAAAGGTACTAAGCCTTTTACAAATTGGTGAGTACTGGCACATGAGATCTAGATCAGGAGCAACTTCTCACATTTAGTCAGTGGGAAAAGAAAGCAGTGCTTTGAAAGTTCCTCCCTCACCTACACAGTAGTCGTCATGTCGAGACCTGCCAGAGAGAGACACATTCTCAAGTGAATCCTGGCTTCTTGGAAGCGCTTGCCTAGACGAGACACAGTGCATAAAAACAACTTTTGGGGGACAGGTATGTTTTTCTTGCAGCTGCGGTTGTAAGGTCTTGGCAAGACAAGCAGTGTGGCCAGAATTTTGAACTTCTGATGAGTGTGTAATGCAAAGGACCATGTACATTTTTGTTCAAAGGTCCTCAAAATGAGCACATGAAGAGGTTGCTGTGAACCTTTAAGTGGCCCTACTGCGCAGAAGCATTCAGATGTCACTTGATGATCTGTAAGGGGACTTGGCTGGTTTGGGAATATGTTAGAGAATACACGTCCTTTTGACAGGCTCTCTATCATTGGGTGGGTAATGAGACAGGTAGATGGTGTGTGCTTTTTTTTTTTCCCCCCCCTTCCAACCTCAATGGTATTCCTACAGAGAATGGATAACCATTTTAACTGTATTTTTTGCAGCCCATACCTTCTTGGGAATACAATTGTCTAACTTTTTATTTTTGGTCTGGCTGTTGTGGTGTGCAAAACTCCGTACATTGCTATTTTGCCACACTGCAACACCTTACAGATGTGGAAGATGTGAAATTTGTCATCAATTATGACTACCCTAACTCCTCAGAGGATTATATTCATCGAATTGGAAGAACTGCTCGCAGTACCAAAACAGGCACAGCATACACTTTCTTTACACCTAATAACATAAAGCAAGTGAGCGACCTTATCTCTGTGCTTCGTGAAGCTAATCAAGCAATTAATCCCAAGTTGCTTCAGTTGGTCGAAGACAGAGGTTCAGGTAAGACCAACCTTCATTAAGAAATGTTGGTGATTTGGGGTCACATGATTGTCTACAAATCCTTTAAATGGGATTGGCGGGTGAGTAAAATCTTCAGTATGAAACTGAGAAAACACTTCACACAGTGAATAGAGCTTCCTAATTCCTTCTGTGTTCGTAATGATTTGTGCCATGGAAATAATACGCTTGCAATTTTTTTTTTTCTTGACAGGTCGTTCCAGGGGTAGAGGAGGCATGAAGGATGACCGTCGGGACAGATACTCTGCGGGCAAAAGGGGTGGATTTAATACCTTTAGAGACAGGGAAAATTATGACAGAGGTTACTCTAGTCTGCTTAAGAGAGATTTTGGGGCAAAAACTCAGAATGGTGTTTACAGTGCTGCAAATTACACCAATGGGAGCTTTGGAAGTAATTTTGTGTCTGCTGGTATACAGACCAGTTTTAGGACTGGTAATCCAACAGGGACTTACCAGAATGGTTATGATAGCACTCAGCAATATGGAAGTAACGTTCCAAATATGCACAATGGTATGAACCAACAGGCATATGCATATCCTGCTACTGCAGCTGCGCCTATGATTGGTTATCCGATGCCAACAGGATATTCTCAATAAGACTTTAGAAGTATATGTAAATGTCTGTTTTTCATAATTGCTCTTTATATTGTGTGTTATCAGACAAGATAGTTATTTAAGAAACATGGGAAATGCAGAAATGACTGCAGTGCAGCAGTAATTATGGTGCACTTTTTCGCTATTTAAGTTGGATATTTCTCTACATTCCTGAAACAATTTTTAGGTTTTTTTTGTACTAGAAAATGCAGGCAGTGTTTTCACAAAAGTAAATGTACAGTGATTTGAAATACAATAAATGAAGGCAATGCATGGCCTTCCAATAAAAAATATTTGAAGACTGAATTAAGTGGAAATTGTACTTTATTTTACATATATAATGTCATGTAAAACTTTGCTTAGATGGTCTGTTTTTTTTTAACCATAAAAACTTAAATTGACTGCTCCTTTCTCTGGTTTGGGAAGTGGGGAGATCAGAAGGCCCTTCTTAGAATGATTATAGTGCAAGAATTAAAATGAGATTAAGTAAATTTACAGTTGTAGGCTAAATTGCATTAAGGCTCTCTGTACCTCATCAGGTGAGTCATTTAATAGCCTAATGGTTAGAATGGTGAAGTGAGATTAAAATAGGAAATAATCAACTGTATAGCTCCACCCTCAAACTGCTTAGTGTGAGAGCAACATGGATGACTTTATTCCTCCAAATAACTTGCTTTTCCAGAATAACTCTTGGCTCTATTGTAAATTACCAAAACGGTGAACAAAGCTAAAAGACTTTACACCTTTTAAGATCTTTGGCCAAGAGCTAAGTTTGAATTTAATATAGATTGTAGTATTCAGGCTCTTGGGGCACTTAACTGGTTACACTGGGAATCATGAATGTCTTTATGATAATTCAGGGAACTCTAGAGGACTTCAAACTGGACGGTCTATTCATATTCAGAGAAAATCCTATCGAAGTTAATGATTAACCAAGAGGAAGCAACATAACCAAAAGCACAGTGACTATTGTACAAGTCATCTTGTTAGGTCAACATGTTTTTTTATTGCTAGAAAGGTCAGGGGAGGAGGGGGTTTGTTTTAGATTTAACTTTGGCTCACCAACCTTTCTAATACTTCATTTCAGTAATGACTAGAAATAGGTCTGGATGTCTTCCCAGAGTCTGGTATATATGTTCTTTTTTGTCAGGAGAGGAGAGGTCTTCATGAGACTTCACTTAAATTCTGGTTATTAAACTGAGGCTTTAATTGGTGTCAATGCCTTATCTCTAAAATGTAAAACTTAACTAGAATTTGCTTGGGGTAGGGAATGGGGAAGTGGTATTTTTAGGACTAATACATTGAAAACTGATTCAGCCTCTCGTGACTTGAACAGTTTTCAATAGCATGGTTAGTCAAATTCATTATGACTTTTAACTTATAAGAAGCTTTTGGGGGTAGGTTGGAGTATTTATTACATATTTTACTGTTTAATGTCTAACGGCCTTTTAATTTGTAAACATTTATTGAAATGATTGTGGGGCTGTGGAAAACATTTACCTATTTACCTTTGAAGTAAGTTTTAAGACAGTCCACTTTTTAGCATGTGTGTTGTGTCCAGCCTGTGGTTGTCTGAACTAATAAATGTGATTTTTCTCCCCATTCTCGCTTTTATTTATTTGTGTATAGGCCTCTTCCCTGGTGTGTGTTTCCTGATCGGAAAACACGATAATAGAGCCCAGCTTTTAGTAGAATTTAAGTAGATTTTTTTTAAACAAAATTGTTCTACAGCAAAATGATCTTAAAGTTTTTTTTACACAAACTCCTGCACACGTGCTTGTATAGAATGTTTTTGAGCCTGTCCTGGAACATGTTATACATAATGATGAATTAACAGTTAAAATTTAACTGCTAAGCTGTCCCCCTCCTTTCATAAACTGCCCCTTGGTAGTTTAATAAAATCTAGTAGTTCTTTCATCTGCATTAATCTTTAAAGGTTACCCTAACCACTTAAAGGCAAGCTAGAAGTAGGAATCATGGGCTTTGGAAAGCAACCATTTTCCTCTGGGCTGTGCCACTTTCCACTATTTGGGCAGTTTTGAGGGCTGAGTGTGTAAATGAACAATTGTGAGGTCACAAGTGCCTTCTAGGTTAAAACAGGTTATCACATTTTATTGCATGTTTTGATGAGTCTGTAGAAGGGTTCTCTGATGAAGAACTTGCCTTTATATTAGATTATCAGTGTGACTCCACGTTCACCTGGGCGGCTTGTTTAAAAAAGCTGGGCGGCTCTCTTCAAAAATGTTCCCGGGGGCGTGCAAGCACTGCTGGCTGAGAACTCCACCATGTAAAGCTCATCCCGGTTCGCCGTCCCAGCCCCATCCCCACTCCTGTAGGTAGGCAGCATGGCGGCAGCGTTTACAATGAATAACAGCTAAGGCCTGGGTCTCTAAACCACCGTAAAGGGCTAAGATTTTGAAAGTGGGAACTGGTTTATTTTCGCCAACGCTTAAATTTGAAAAGGTGTATTTAAATGGTGATTTGGGGAACGCCTAAGTATTTTGATGGGATTTGCAAAAAATTGAGAAGCAAAGCTGACTCTTAGTACCGCATGATAGTGAAAAAGTAGACGGGAACGACATTTGTGGGTGCTAAAGACCTAACAATTAGGCAGGGCTTAATGGAGGCGAAAAACGGCAGGAGGTCTGCATCGGCCTTAGCAACAGGGCCAGGCCCGCGGCGGCAGCAGCCCGTACACGGTGACGCGCTTCCGTGGGTGTGGCCGGCCGCGCGCCTGATCACTTCCGTTGCGCCTGCGCAGTTGGCTCCCGGGCTCTTGTTTGTGGCGGTTTCCCGGGATCGACCAGTTAATGGGAGACTGGGCTGTTTTAACTGCCGGCGGCGATGCGTTCTGGTGCAGCGGTCAGGGCCTGCCAGAAAGTCTGCAGGTGCCTGTTGTCTGGGTTTGGAGGTCGAGTGGATGGGGGGCAGCCTGAGCCGTTACTGGAAGGGAGTTTTTCCTTCGGAGTGCCCGTGAGGTCGCACGCGGAGCTGCCCCGGGGGAGCGAGCCGACCGAAGCCCCCGAGTCCGGTGAGGGGAGCGAGGAGCTGGTAGAGATCTGTCAGAGAAGGCATTTCTTCAGTGGCAGCAAGCGGCAGCTTAGCCGACATTCTCTTCTGAGCGGGTGCCACCCCGGCCTTGGCCCCTTGGGCATAGAGTTGCGCAAGAACCTGGCAGCAGAATGGTGGTCCTCAGTGGTGGTGTTCAGGGAGCAGGTCTTCCCGGTAGATGCCCTCCATCATAAGTCTGGCCCTACGCTGCCTGGGGACAATGCCTTCAGGTTAGTTTCCGCAGAAACTCTACGCGAAATCTTGCAAGACAAAGAGCTGAGTAAGGAACAGCTAATAGCATTTCTTGAAAACTTATTAAAAACTTCTGGGAAACTACGGGAGAACCTTCTTCACGGTATGCATCACGATTTCATGCTTCAAAATAGATGGGGTGGAAAGGCAGACTTGCTAGATTTCGCGGATTGCAACTGATCCTTTATTCACGTGGAAAGGAAATTATCTGGTTCTCATCTTTTTGAAGTAATTGGGTATATTGATAATGTTTCTACCAAGGAGAAAACTCGTCTATGGAATAGTTACTGTTCCTTAAAGAATCTAGCCTGAAGGACCAGGTGACGCTCTCAATTTCATGCGGCAACCCTACAGTTCAATTGAGCAGCCCTATAATTAGGAGTAAATTAAATCATATGAATCATTTGTTCGTCGTTACCAAGATGTTGGTAAATATTTCCACAGTTACTCCTTAATTTTACACATAATAGGCTAATCAAGAGCTCGGTCTTCTAGAGCAAAAAGAAAATCCCCCCCTCTCCCAATTTTTCCTACTGAAAACCTATCTACGACTCTGTTGTTTGAAGAGCCCTTTAAGTGATTTTTGAGTTGACTAAAAAATAATAGAACTAATCAAGCTTTATAACATTCTTGAGTGAATACACAGAACTTTGTGGGGCACCATTTGCCTCTAAAGTTTATTTTTGTAATCTCTGCACTCAAGGTGGGGCTTGAACTCACAACCCTGAGATCAAGAGTCACCTGCTCCTCTGAGCCAGCCAGTTGCCTCCATCATTTGCCTTTAAAGTCAAATAGAACACAGTCGCAGAGATTCTGAAGAAAAAAAAAATTCAAGTTCTTTACAGGACAGACTTGCCACAGCATCTCATCTTTGCAAAATGCTATCCTTACTATTTTAATTAAGTGGCACTACAGAGTAATTTAACCAATGTCCATGGTTCTCTGAAAATTAGTACCCACATTATAGCTTTTAAAAAATTTCCTTAATAATTAAAGCAAACTAAAGCAAACTGGTGAATATTTGTGACAGTTTTGATTTGTACTACTTTAATTATTCCGTGATGTCTTTATTTGGGGCAAGTTAAATCACTACTTATTATCATGTCCAAAACAAATCAATCTTTTCATCCCTATTAGAGAATGAAACTTAAGGGCACCTGGGTGGCTCAGTCAGTTAAGCATCTGCCTTGGGCTCAGGTCATGATCCCAGGGTCCTGGGATGGAGCGCCGTGTTGGGCTCCGTATTCAGTGAAGAGTCTGCTTCTCCTGCCTCTAAACAGCGCCCCCTCCCCCGCCCCCGCCCCGGCTCGTGCACGCTCTCTCTCTCTCTCTGAAATAAATAAATAAATCTAAAAAAAAAAAAAAATGAAACTTAGCTCACTTAGATGTCCATTCATCAAAACCTCCATTGATATACCAGACATTTTCTTTCCTTTATTTGCAGAATCCTTTAGTTGACTAGTATTTTTAGCTTAGAATTACCCAGTTTACCACTTCTTTCTATTCCTAAGGTCCTTGCTCTCTTTATTTCATGTCTGAACTACTTTGGTAGCCTCTACTTATGAATAGTTTTAAAAAATTCTCAGCCATTATATTTCCTGATATTGTTATTGTCCCATTCTCCTCTGTCCTGTGACAAATTACATATGTTAGACCTTACCCCCATCTTGTCATCAACTTTCTTGAACACACATTTTGTAAAGTCCACATCCAGTGACTCAGATATATCTGTTTTTCTCTAGGCCTTTGGTCATTTGGACTTGTCTCCTGATATTCTGTGTAGTTTGTATATAAACTCTAGACATAATTTGAGCTTCTGGGTGGTGTTTTCTTTTCCTGGGAGGATTTACTTTTGCTTTTGGCAGGCAGCTAGAGTGGGAGCATATCTTTTTTTTTTTAAGATTTTATTTATTTGAGAGAGCGAGAGAGCACAAGCAGGGGGGAGGAGCAGAGGGAGAGAGAGAGCAGGGAGCCCATTCAGGGCTTGATCCCAGGACCCAGAGATCATGACCTGAGCCGAAGTCAGACACTGAACTGACCGAGCCGCCCAGGCGCCTCATAGAGTGGGAGCATATCTTCTTAATACAATCTGGGATTAAGTTTATTGGAGGCTGGTCTTCAGGGTTTTCATCTCCACTCCTACAGTGTAGCCCTTTGAGTGTCCCTAGTGAAAGGCTGGGGTGTTTACCAGGGCTCCTCCTCCTTGAGGAGCCAGGAACTACAGTGTTTGTACTCCCCAGTCCCTTAAGATGTTAGGAAGCTTCTCAGCTCTGCTACTTGAGATTTAGAAAAGCAACCCTAAATGTTGGGTTCACCTCTCTGCTCCTCCCTTCTCTCCATATTTTGGACCCTCAAGTCCTTACTGCCTTGATAGCTCAGTCTTTAAGTAGATTTTTTTTTAAGTTTCTTGACCAGCTTTTCTTATCTTGCTGATCTACTATTTATTACCAGAAGTGGAAATCTCAAGTAGCGTAAACACAGTGCTGTCATTTAGTGGGACATAATCTAAGTGCATAAAGAACTACAACGAAATCTTGAGCTTAGATTTATTCCAAATAGAAATGTTGGAATTATAATTCTGAAGCTATTTCGTATATGTTATAAAGCAAATAGATGGATAAATGTTATTAGGAACCAAAATTTTCACTGTGAGAAAAAAGAGATACAAATATAAAAGAACACAAGGATAAACTTTGCAATGTTAAATTTGAATCAGCAATATCAGTATGACCTTATAATTTTAAAAAACATTATTCTTAACTTTCTTCATTGAAAGGGCCTAGAAATAATGACACTCAATAGCAGTGAACACACCTAGTACCCAGATTTTGATTTCTAAAATGAACCAGTGCTTGAAGAAATGGCTTATCCCAGGTCTGGGGCAGGGAAAGTACAAGGTGAGTTTGGGACATTTTATGGTGCTAGGAAACAAAGAATTACTTGAAGACTGGTGAGGTCATGTGAAAAGGACAGATGGTGGCTTGAACTAGACTCCCACTGGCTAAATTTGAGACAAACAGTATTAAGTATTGATGGTAATAGATCATAACACATTAAAATTAAAAATTTATAGTGTTAATCAGAAAAGTAAATAGTTGAGGCTGCTGGTAGGGGAAGGAGGTGGAGAAAGTTTACTTTTTTACAGAAGCTATGTAATAAATGTAGAAGGAAAGAGAAAAATCACCATTTTGTGATTTTTGTAATCCCCATTATAATAATTGATTGAGGCAGGATCATCAATGGATTCTAAAATGTTGGGTGGAAGATTGTTGAGCAGGATATTGTTGGGGAATGGATATTCACTACCTAACCAGGTAATCAAATTTAGTTTCATTAATACGGGATAATTTGATACTATTTTCTTCCTGTTAGAATGCAAGAAGACATATACATCAACTATGTAGTATTTATTTCTGCTAAAAATGATTTACCCAAGTTGATGAAACAATCAGCCAAATCTCGAGTATGACTGGTCCGGACTCAAACCAAAAGTCAATGTCATTAAAAGTTAGAAAAGGAGGGAGGAATCAGGGGAAATGTTCCAGATTAAAGAGACCTAATCAAAATGCAGAGCAGGAGCCTTAATTAGGGAAAAAGAGAACAACAATAAATGACATTTTGAGTGACAATTGGAGAAAATAGAATATCGACCATATTTTATATAAAATTATGGTATTATGATTAATCTTATGGTATAATAATGGTATAGAGAGTAATTTTAGGAGACACATGCTGAAATGTTTTGGGGTGAACAAGGAGAAAAGGTGGCAGAATGTTGACAATTGGTGAATCTAGCTGAAGAGTGTACAGGTATTTACTGTACTACCAACTTTCTTGTAGATTTGAAAATCAAGTTAAAAAGTTGTGGGGAAACTAAGTAGTAATCAATTAAGATCTGCCTGAATAGTTCCGTGGTACTTGTACTGCTGTGTTAGCATTATTATATTAATTTGTTTATAAATTGACCCTTATGACTTGGGTTTATAGATTTATACAGTGACAGATTTATCTTTTGACAGGTGCTTTGGAGCACTATGTTAATTCCCTGGATCTGGTAAACAAGAGACTACCTTATGGCCTTGCTCAGATTGGAGTGTGTTTTCATCCTGATACTAAGCAGACATCTGATGGTGTTAAAAGGTACCAAAAAATGGCAAATAACTTGGCCTTGTATTTAATCAAGAACCAGTCACTTTTCACTTTAGGATAGATTATATAATCTTCAAGTAACTATCTGATATTTCTGCTATCCAAAGAATCGGTGAGAAGACTGAGGCTTCACTGGTTTGGTTTACTTCAGCAAGAACTGCAGGCCAGTGGCTTGATTTCTGGTTACGTCATCGACTCCTGTGGTGGAGAAAGGTATACCCTTAATTTACGAATTAATAGGTGAAGTGTCTTAGTGTGTCAGAGATAATACTTCTCTACAATAAATGAAATTTTATTGATATGGGGCTGTTATGTTTGTAAGAGACAGCTCTAATAAATCAGTAAGTACAAATAAAAGCCTCTTTGTAATGATTTTCATTGTTCCATATAAAAAGTTACTTTGTTAAAAAATATCTGTTGATGTCTCTCCTGCTCAGAAGCTTTTGTCCATAAGCCTTTGCATTCGAGGTAGAGTTCAGATGCCTCACCTGGCATTCCTGGCTGGTATAGAGTTTGACCTTTGCACACCCTTAAAGCTTCAACCTTTGCTCACTGCCTCCGTCCATGAACTCTCCATATTTGTCAAGATGGTTCTGTGATTTATCATCAAGTTTTAGTACATGCTGAAGAGGAAAGAGTAGGTATTTGTGGCTCACCATTGTCTTGCTTTTCTCCAATTCTTAAAATCCCCAAACACCCACTCAATTAAGTGGAATAATTACAAATAATCACACTCTTCACAGAGGATAAGAATGGTGAGTATACACTTTCTTCTCTATCCCTCTTAGTTTATGGTCACCTTCCCTTCTTATTAACTGGCCAAAAAAAGCTAGATCACTCCAGCAGTTTTTCTCTGTAGTTCTTTCAGGCTAAAAACAGTATTTTTAGCAATACATTTGCTCATATTTAACTGAACTTCATAGTTTTTATATGGGACCTGACCAGTTTCATTCAGTGGCCACATAAAAGTCTCAGGTAACTTTACGTTTTAACATTTAGTTTCATAAATTAATAAAACAAACTTTCTTGGGGTGCCTGGGTGGCTCAGTCGTTAAGCGTCTGCCTTTGGCTCAGGTCATGGCCCCAAGGTCCTGGGATCGAGCCCCTCATCGGGCTCCCTGCTCAGCAGGAAGCCTGCTTCTCCCTCTCCCACTCCCCCTGCTTGTGTTCCTGCTCTCGCTGTGTCTCTCTCTGTCAAATAA